AATTACTATAGAAGAACTTCATATAGCTATAAAAGAAGCACCCAACAACAAAGCAACAGGTCTACAAAATATATCAAACGAAATGCTAAAACATCTCGATGAAACAGTACTATCTCTATTACTTAACATCTTCAATCCTTGCCTAAATCTACAACAAATACCAGTATTATGAAAATATAGCAAAATTTATCCAATCTCTAAAAACAAACATTTACTGGACATCTAGAACACACTAGACCCATCACTCTTATAGAACATTCTAGAAAGATTTTCACAAAAATAATTACAAATAGACTTAATAGAACACTATTCAGATATCTAATACTAAACAGAAGCAACCATATTGCACTCATTCATATATCTACAACACTATCTATTACCACCCTAACATATATAATCGAAGAGGCCAATATATATTTCAAGGAACTATAGTCCTATTGCAAGATATATTCAAAGCATATGACTCAGTTCATATACTTCTACTCAAGAAAGCCTTACTCAAAATTAAACTACCAAACCATATCATAAACCTCATTATAGATATATTCATTAACAGACACAATACTATAATAAAGGAGTACCAGAAATTAGCTGATTTTTTAGAGGGAAAGGGGTAAAAAAAAATTATCAGATATATAGTTTTAGCTAATTAAAATTTTTTATTTAAAATCAAGTAGAGGGAGAGGAGTAGACTCTTAATAAAAAAATATCAGCTGATAAATGGCCTTCCTCTAACTAACCACGATACTATTGAACCATATCCTATTCATAATAGGATAGATCAAGGAGAGACAATAACACCCTACTCTGGCAAATATACTATGACCCCTTACTAACCAGGATTACAAGAGAACACAAAGGTTATACTATGCAAATGACTACCAACACCTATAGGATAAAAGCTAGCTATGCGGTACTGGCCTATATGGACGATACAATATAAATAGCACTATTGAAAAAATACTTACAAGATATCCTACACACAGCCACAACTTTTTACAAATTAACAAACATTAAAGTGAACCCAAACAAATCAGTACTTGCAACCCTTAACTCCACAGATTCACCTAGTATTACTTTTAACAAATCTACTATAGAAAGCATAAAGCCAAAACAAGCATTCAGATTTCTAGGATGCTAGTTTTTAATGTCAAAAAAGCAAACCCCAATATACAATGTAATCAAAACAGAAACTGCAAATGCTCTAACAAAACTCAAAAAAGCAAAAATCACTAACAAACAAGCAATATATATAATCAATGCTATCATCCTTATCAGAATTAGCTACAAGATACAGAACACAGTCCTGCTACCTACTGTATATACTTATATTACCAACACTTACACTAATCTTGTAAAACACAAAGCAGGTCTCGCCACATCAATCCCAAATTCAACAATATTCCACAATGCAATATATGATCTAAAAACAATAGAGGATATCCAAAACTAGCAACACATCTTCCTTATTCTATATTAACTCAATCACCTAGAGTTCAATATATCAACTTTTAAAATCAGACTCCAACAACTACAAAATGCAACAGCAACTACACAATCTATTCTTTAACACTATAATTATATAATAGCACAACCTGAATACCTCTTACCCTCAGCTCAGATACTCAGAAGCCTACAAAATATACAGATCTTACTAGAAAACCAAAACAACAACTGGTCTATACCACTAACAAAACCAGAACTCCCAATTAACACAGTACTACATCACCTTAAAACTTCATACTCAGTTAAAAAAAGCCTTAATCAACTTGGTCTATTTGTAATTAAACAAATTACAAATATCACACAAACAAATACTATCACCTGGACCCATCTTTTACAAACAATTCAAAAAATCCCACATGGCAAAAAATCAAAATGGTTTACTGAATTAACTAGTATAATACAAAAAAAGATTCTAACTAACAGGACTAATCTAATTATATCAAATCTATACATATGGCATAGAGCCTCTACCAAGAAATAAAAATAGATTGCTAACCCTACTGAGCTCAGTATTGGCAAATTATATCTATAAAACAAAACAACACAATGATCTACTACTAAAAATTCAACTATACAGACCAAACTATAAAACTATATTCTGGCTGCAAAATCAACAATTCTAGGATAAAAAACAAGAAATACACTTTTAGAAGACTACTTAATCAAATAACTACAATACAGGTAGACTGCAATCACAAGATTCGATACAATATTAATGAGGTGATGAACAGCAACTACTATACAGGAGATGACAATCTTTCTATCAAAACACTATCAACAGCAGAACTTATTACCAATCCAAAAAAACGAATCATCTACAATGATATCAATAATTCAATACACCCTATAGAAGTAGCTAAAGCCCTTTGGCAAACACATCAACAATTACT